TATTTCAGGAGGCAGAGTAAAAGGGAAGGTATGCTCCTGTGCATCTCTTCAGAGCTTCATACTCCTGTCCATTTCATTTCAGATCTTCAGCTGTATATGCTCCTGTGCATCTCTTCAGAGCTTCATACTCCTGTCCATTTCATTTCAGATCTTCAGCTTATACAGCCTTTGTGTCCGTCCTTCATCTTCATACTTCCGTTCATTTCATTTCTGTGTGTCTGTCTCTGTGTGTGTGTGTGTGTGTGTGTGTATGTCTGTCTATCCGTCTGTCTGTGTCTCTCTTGATGTTAAGCCAAGTCAGTGCAAGAAGGGCTCACATGACACATTTTAACACCATCCAGATGAGCAGCCTAATAATCTGTGCTCTTGACAAGGAAACAACCATCACCTAACTCCCACAAAAAAAAGTGGGGGGGGGGAGGGAACTAGTTGAGGTGCAAGAAACCAGCGAATCACATCACATATTTTGACAGTGTCCGTTTGAGCAGAGCCTGAGAATCCCTGTTCAATTGAAAAGCAAACAAGCGCATTCCCAACCCCATTCTCAAAAGAAATACATATATACGAATTTATAAGAGAAAGTAAACTTTGATGTCAGGAGTTGAGTAGGTGGAAGAAGGGAGGGATCCCATCACACATTTTGACGCTGTCTGCGTGCGCAGCCTGATAGTCTGTGCTCTTGAAAAGCGAACAACCCGCTGCGAATCGAGCCGCCAGCAACTCTCTCTGTCGGTCACCTCCTGCTCACACGCCACCACGCAAAACCGATCCCAGCGCATACAAATTTGTCAAAACATTTCCCAAATCGAAACTCAGATTCGACCTTCTATAAACCAGTTCATTTTTCGATTCGAGCACGTGCCCAACGTATCCCAAGAAATCCCAAAATCATTTCCGAAATCGGAACTCAGATTTGATCTTTCATCGACCAGTTCAACTCTCTATTGGAGCGCGTGCCCCCATGTGTCCGCTAACCCACCCCCGCCAGCCCCAACCCCCCTCAAAAAAAGAGAAAAAGAAAAAAAAAAGCCAAAGCTAAAGCCAACATATGTCCCCAACTCAAACTCGGATTAGGTAGCTCGAGCCTTTTCTGCTCTTTTCCAGCGTGCTCTTGATGGACCCGTTGTCGACTTGAGTATGCACAAAGTAACCGAAAATCACCAAAATTTTTGCCAGGCCGAAAACTCAGGTTTTTATCCTTTATGAACTTCTTCAGTTCTTAATTAGAGCTTGTGACCGCTTTCCAATTTGTACAGGTCCAAGTACAGCATTCTTCTTCTCTGTATCATTCCCATTTTAACAGATGTCCTGATGCACATTTAACAGATGTTACAAAGGACGGCCCACCCAGGCTGCCTGTCGCATACCAAGACGGTACACAAGACGGTACAGACCAGAACCAAGAACCGACCTCTCACAGATAGAACAGGATAGCAAAGCGGAAGGCTAGAATACGAATGATCAGACCCAATCAATGTCGAAATGCAGACTGGACATACATCATCATCATCACACGGTGTGAATGGCCTGGCCCTGCACTCCAGGACGAAGGTGCCAGGCCTGACTCATACACAGATGAGGAGGGGGAAGAGATGAACGAGAAGGGGGAAGAGATGAGAAATGTCGTCAATCCAAATGTCACTGATATCAATCCCAAGAAGTCCCCCCAATGTCTCTGCCCAATGTCGAGTCCAAATCCCAAGTGTCGTCAACCTCTCTCTCTCTCTCTCTCTCTCTCACACACACACACACACACACACACACACACACACACACACACACACACACACACACACACACATAGCCGAAGAAGTCAGAGCGCTGGGAGGGGAAGAAGGTAGTGGACTGGAGGAAGAAGAGGAAGAAGAAGATCTCTCTCTCTCTCTCTCTCTCTCTCTCTCTCTCTCTCTCTCTCTCTCTCTCTCTCTCTCTCTCTCTGTGTGTCTGTCTCTGCCAAGTACTGACCTGTGAAAGGTGGTGCCTTGATGCAGGTGCGGATGTGCTGAAGACGAAGCTGGAGCGATGGCTACTCAGCTAAAGTCTCAGGTAAGTCCTCAGGCCGCCATCACCATCTCTCCCTCCCGGCGCTACTCTACTCTATCAGCGCCCAGCGCTGGAAGACTAGTCCTATCATCGACTACTACTGCTCTGCTGCCATCCGAAGTATGCCTCCTCGATCCTCTACTCAAGAATGCGGAACTGAGGCCGGACCCAGCTATATGTAGCGCTGGGTCGGCCTCAGCTGCTGAGCCCTGGCGCTCAAACTGAGGCTGGGCCTCAAAGTTTGGCGCCCAAACCGAGGCTGCTCCAGGGCCTACCGAAACGGTGCGGCCTCAAAGTCAGGGCCTTGGCGCCAAAACGCGCGCCAGGGCCTGTACTCAAAACGAGGCCTACAGGGCCTCTACCTGGTACCGGTCCTACTCGGCCTAAAGTCGGCCTACCGACCCTGCAGACCCTGCTGAGGGTCGAAACGATGCCAACCCTACACCTACAGACCCCTAGTCTACCTGGTCGGGCCCTGCTGGGCCCGTGTGGAACTGAGTATGCTTCACTGCCTCTGGCTGCTCGGGTGGCCCGGCAGTGTCAGATCTGGGGCAACGTCCCAGGCAAGGTCCCGGGCAACGTTCCCCGGCAATCCCAGCACGCACAAAGGAAATCTGGAATAAAAACGGTTATGCCAATTATGTAAAATTGAATCAAAAACCTTTTGGCTAAGGATCAGTTCAAAATTCCTTTGTAGATAGAAATATTATTCAAATATATTATATTAGAAAAACCTAGAATAAAGCTGGGGTACCAACCGGGCCGCCCGGTTCATCATCGTTACCCAAGCAGCCCCGGCTGGGCAAGGGTCAGGGAAGGTTCCTTCAAAAGAAAATTCCAAAAATTCCGAAAAAAAATAAAAATTGTTATGCAGGAGAATAAACTGAACAACTTTTGCCTCACGGTCACAATCGTCACACCGAAATTCTTTACACATATTAAAAAACTAAAGGTACCAAATTAAAAAAT